GGCCATGCTTTTGGCCATTCAATAAATATGGCTATTATTATTCAAAACAAGATAATAACTTTAATTGATAAAAGCTAAATCTGGGCACCACCCTTCAAAGGAAGGGAAAAGATAGCCAAGTTATTGAATAAGTCTCATGAAATTACTGACTACAAATTGGAACTGTGATTGATAATTAAATAAATAACAATAACCAAAATTGACTGACTGAAATTCAAAATGGAGGCTGGCCACTATGAAGACAAAAAGCCCCCTGGAGTGGTGGGACCATGTGGCTGAGATCACATGCAGGTGTTAAGTTTGTGGAGAGGAGTGTGTGAGGTGTTGGTGCCAGGTAGTGAAAGTAGTTAGATGCATGCAGAGAAAGTGAACAGCATAACAGAACTAACATTAACTTTCAAATAACATATTACCAAATATCACAAGAACACAAGTCAAACTTAAAATCATCACATGAAATAGAAATAGAATTAAACAGTCTTTTGCTTAGCCTAGCGTAATAATAAAGTCCAAAAGGGGGAAAGGTCCTTTTTGGATCTGCTGTTTGAAGTCTAGTGAAGTGGTCTTGTTGGTTTGTGGCTCCTGTTGTGCATCTGATGGTCAGACCTTGTGTCGTGGCCAGTTGTGCTGAAGTTCTTAGGCAGGTTCTTGCGTTGCTGCCTCCGGAAGGTTTGAGCAGTCGGCTCCAGGCAGGCCTGCTTGAAGTTGAAGAGCTAGTGTATGCTCAGAGATGATATCATTAGAGTATTAACGAGGTTGTGTTCTCTGGGCACACATCCACAGAGGTGAGTGGCAGGGAGAGCGCCACAGAGTTTAAGTAAAGAAGTGGATTTGTCTTAATTTACATACAAAACAACTTTGTCAAAGTTTGTATGATTTCAATTTCAGTTTGTATGAGGGGGAAGAGTACTGATGTGGAGTTGTTGTCACAGTGGAAAAAACAAACTGACACACACTCTCTCAAATCAATAACAATCTCCCTGATGACCTGGGTTTATTGGGTTGCCATCAATATAACTTATTTACATTTGTATAGTTCAAGCAGCTTTCCCACCACAACTAACTGTATAATGCATGACCAGTGAGAGGTCTAGAAAGCTTCAACAGGACACATGATATCAGCGCTGACACCACAAGACTACCTCAGCCTCTCATCATTTCCTTGTACCATCCACTGAGGAACGATTCAACTGTCTATCGTAAATGTATAAGATAAATCAGTTGCTTTACAGCAGGGGTGGGTCGTGCCTTTTTCATATCAAGGCCATTTAAATTTTTATAACATTCTTCGAGGACCATACTGAATTATTATACACATATGTACAGCATAGCATCAAAAAGTAATTACAACCAAACTTACAGGGAAAACTACCACTTGAACAACTTGCAGCCAACCACCAGGGAGGCAATTTCTTTCACCTTTGGGAGGCTGTCATGTACATAGGCTTTTTTACAATCTGTGGTTCCAAGTGTGTTAATTTCAATGTATGTGCACATGTACACTCTTATATAAGAATTATCAGTATTTAAATTAGTCAAGTACTGCTTCTTCTACATCTATTTTATATATAACTTTAGCTAACTTGTTTAATTATTTAAACTTTTATCCATTAGCTACCTTTAGCTAAATGTGCATTGCTGTACCAGCTAACAAATTGAACTGTTTATCTATTCATTTTGGTTCTCATTTGTATCCTCGTAACATTTTACTTCTTAAACCATTTATCCTTTATTCACTTTTGTGTGTATTTATTTACGAAGTATAATGCACATTAATTAACATGCATTAAGTCCAACCTGTAAATGTGCCAGATTTAGCCATGCAGGTTAGTTTTTATCTGGTGTCCCTTTTAGCTATTTACTTTTAACTAATTATTTTTACCTTATGCTTTCTAGTTAGTTTTCAGGAGGTGTGTCCCATGTATTCAGACTACTGAAGCTAACTTAGTAGTAATCATTATAAATATATTAAAACTCAGTATCACACAAATTTGTTTCCTATTTGGATATTTATTTTTTGCTCAAAACCCAAGTGTGTGGAGGTGTGAGGCCTGGCAGCTGCAGAGGTTCCCTCAGTGTAGGACCCACTGGTAGGGAATCGCTGCTCCAGCAAAAAACAAATGAGCAGAACCAAATTAAAACTGGAAGCAGGAATGCATGTGTGCTGGTGAAGTGTTGTTTAACCCTGTGGAATCAGTCTTCCTGGTCTGAATGCAGGGAAAGGCTGGAAGCAGGTCAGTAGGGGTCAGAGAGGACAGCCACAGCTTCTCATGTGAGTCAGACACTTTTGAAGACCACTGCAAGGGGCACTGAATCAGTTCATTGATATTCAAGGATTTGACCCGCTGACAACAGGAATGTCACTGAGGTTAAGACAGCCGTACTCTCCGTATTGTGCAGGGCCAAAAAGCCAGGGGGTCCCTCAGCCCCCCCACCCCCCTGTGCACGGTTGTCATGGTGAGCAAATCAGTCCGGCAGCACTATGTCACAATCATGCGGACACATTCTCTCTTTCTTCCTCTCTCTCTTTTCTTTCTCTGACTTTCTATCGTGCTGCTCCGCTGAGGGTGACTGCCAGAGAGAGCTTTCCGTCCACTGATAATGCCTGGTGTGTCATGGACATCCTCATACATATACAGTGCAAAGAAGAAGAATCCAAGTGCTTCCCTTCCCATAACACATGGCAACACTATGTTCTGCTGTGGGATCCCAGCAAGTGTGTTGTATTGTAGTGAATAATCGCAGCGGGTCACAAAGTCCAAATAAATCATATTTCCTCCAATATCTGGAGAGAGGGACTGTTGAAGGAGATGTTTCAAAGTGTTGCTATCGCTTATATAGCTGACATTAAATAAAACAGCTGTTTAGTAATTATCTAGCAGAAACATCGCAAGTTCATCATCACACTTTATCATGTTTCTGTCTGTTTGTTACCTCTGCCAAGGAGGTTGTGTTTTGTTTGTCTGTTATTTAGCAGGATTACACAAAAACTATTGAACAGATTACCGCAAAACCTGGAAAGTTGTGCTTTGGGTCAGGTACAGTTCCCAAAAAAATCTAGATTTATTCAATTTAAAAGCGGTTTCATAAGGGGACTGTTTACCATGGTAGATACGCTCTTTGAGTACCAGTCTAATCCCTTTGCCTTTGTTAACACTTGTTTTGACTATTCATTTTCTTATTAAATTAATTAAAATGTCCTAAGTTCTTTGATTCAAATTAAGTTAGTAAGCTAATTAGCAAGCTCGGCCCTGACAGGCCTGTCTCATCACTTTCTGGTGC